GTTTTCCCATCTCCTGCTCTGCAGGGATGCCACACCCATAGGGACAGAGGTGGGAAAAGTGTAACAAATCCCAGGCCCTCCCCCACGCCCCTGGCAAGGTGCTTTGGGGGATAGTACACCAGATTACATTTAACTCTCTCGAGTGATGTTGGGCTCCCATCTTTATTCTTTGGAGGCTGTTATTTAATTTTTTTTTTTGGTATCAGAATAAGTAGTTGTGCCTTTGTCTGGCTCCTTGACATGACAGATAATTTGCAGCATGTTGCATCCTGTGAAGGAGATGAAGGGTGTTATTTTCCTGTGCCGCGTGCTCTTCAGATCCTGCCACTTCATGAATTTTGCTCTTGCAATAGCTGTTGACTGGGTTTTTTTCTTATTTTTTTTCTCCCTCTTGGTATTCCAGAAAGACTTGCTGCTCTCTCAAGCCGTGGTTGCCTGCCTGGAAACCTTAGTGGAATACCTGTATGTGAAGAACCAGGATGTTGGTAAAGTCTTCCTGCTCTTTCTTCTCCTGGGTTTCCCTCCTGCAGTGATTTTGAGCTCTTTGATCTCCATCCAGTAGCTCCCTGGAGCAGATGCTTAATGAGTTTATGCCCAATAAGAAAAATTATTTGTATGCCTAAATTAATCATGTGCTTTGTGGGATGAAATCACAGTGCCTGGCTCCCCTGCAGGCATGAGCCCTCACTTTGGCTCTGGACACCAAGATGCTTTCCAGAAGGAAAAAAGTCATTCCCCACCCCCTTAAGAGTGAAAGGTTTAGGAATGGAGGGAATATAGGAAAAGTCTTTCACTTCCAGGCCAATTGTAGCAAGCCTCTAGACCATAAACATAGGGGAGGGAGGATCTGAATATGATGTGTCTTCCACGCGGGCACTGTTGGTCACAGTTTGGCCCTGAGGGAGGGGAAGGGAGAACAGGGTACTAGGCAGCCTTAGGGAATGGAAGCTGGAAGTTCTAGATTTCCAGGGGCGAATGCAGACCTTGGTTTCCAGAGTCCATGCCAGATCTAATGTATACCATGTTAGCAACATAACATAATATGACAGCGTTGTACAGTTGAGGGGAAGAATAGACCCTTCTGCTTATTGTCAGCCTCCTGCCACAAAGTCCAGGTGCTGGCTCTGATTTTAAAACAGACAGCAAGTTCTCTGAACCCTGACCTGTTCAATTCAGTCATTTAAACACTGAGAGAGAAGGGGATGAACAAACACCAGAGAAAAGGGACGTTGGTGGGAGAGAGGAAGTGGTTGAATGAAGATGTAATACTGCAGATGAATGACAGCCAGTAGCCGAAGGGAGGCTATTAAAAGGCTGGGTTAAAAAAAAAAAAAAAAAAAAAAAAAAAAAGGTGGCATGTTTTATGGGGATGTTCTGCTGCTTTGGGATTAAGCTAATGAAATGCTGTTTCAGCAACAGCTGAACCTGTCACTTTGGCTGCCTAAATTCTTGCCATGGTGCAGAAGTTCACAACAGCAATAACAGGAGACTCCTTATTCCAAGCAGAATGAGGGTCATAGCTATGTTTGACTGAAAGATGTGAGAACACTGCAGAGAGCGTGGCCTGGATTCTACCTCTAGGAGTTGCCTCATTTAAGGCTTTCTAAAACCTTCTCTTGGTCCAGAGATTTTTCCAGATGTGCAGAGCAGGCTCAGTGCACAGTGCTGGTACCTTCTCATTTCCACCAGCTAAAAGCTACCCCCCAAACATTTTACATTATTTGTTTAGTGTTGTTTTCCCATGAAAAAGATTCTTGTAGTGGCAACAGGGAGGTTACCTGACTGCCAGTGGAAGAGGGACCTTTCTGAAACTCTCGTGAGTTGCCCTGGTGTGAGCCGTTATGTCAGCTGACCTGTTGTAATTGCCCATCCCATGCAAGAAGTAGATCCTAACCTGCAATAAATACAAGATAATAACACTTAACTTTAGCATTTGGTGAGAGACTTCCCGCTGTCACGGACCTTGAGCCTTACCTCTGTTTGTCATATATGCTCCTTATTAAGAACATTTTCTCTACTGATTGTTTGCATTGCTGCCGTCAGCCTGGCTGGTCCCAGTAGTACGCGCCCTGATGCAGATCCAGGCTTGGTTTGTGCAGCTAATGTTATAGGTCTTCCTTCATTCCCCAAAGAGTATTCTGCAGCTAAATAAAACCCGTTGTCAGGAAACTTGTCCTCATATTGAAACCAGAGGGTATTATTTTTAAAACCCTGGGCTAAAGATATCCCCTTACTGTTTTATGACATGCACCCCAGGAGAAGGTTTCTCTTCCTGTACTAGCACAAAGATGGACAAAGTGTATTTGCTGCTTTAAAAACCTATTAAGCTTTTGTCCTCATGACTAAACTCTTGCCCAAAGAGTGACAGATTAAAAAGCAAGTAAGAACAGAGCAAAATATCCCCTTAGTGCTTCACAGCGTGGGGTCTAGAAGAGAAAACTGGGGGTCAGTATTAAGACTCTCCTTATTCAGGTCCAGCCTGTCACTGGGCGGATTTTAAAGCCGTCTTTGATTGGCTTCTCCTTCTCTCCCAGCTCTACATGTTGCTTCGCAGCCCTGGCACCGATTCCTGCTCTTCACACTCCTCAGTGGGGGCCAGAAGTCCTTTCTGCAGCCAGAAGTTCTCAGGCTGATGACTTTGGTGAGCAGGGGAAGAGCAGGCTGTTCTCCATTTTTTTTTTCGGTGTGTTCATACAGTGCATGGGAGTCGGTTATTGGAAGTTACTCCCTACACACACACAATCTCAGATACTGCTGTGGCTTTGCCTGTCAGTGTATTTGTGCCCTATAATAATCATAGTTTCGAGTGAACTTCCCTTCCACACCCTGCAGAAACTGACTGCTGTTAGTGAACACGTATTGTTCTTGTGGTGTTTGTAGCACTTATTTATATCATCTAGGACCCCTGGGGAGGAGAGGGGAAACCTACAGAGAACACGCAACTGCTCTTGCCAGTCAGGGAGCATGCTGCAGCTCTCTGGGGAGCAGCTCTGCTTGGCATCACAGCCTCGTCTCCCCATCTTTGACCTTACAGACCCGACTTTTTCAGGGCAGGGAGTTACCACAACCTACTACCCTGCTGTACCTGGGGCCTGCAAGCAAGAGAGGGGATGTGGTCCTACGCAGCAGAAATACTGCAGATAAAGCCCTCATGGCAGTGGATGAGAGGAAGGGGTTATTAATGTGAACCTTCCCCCTCCAAATACATGATGGGTCTGTTGTTATTTCACTTTTTAAAGGTTACCTGCTTTGTTTCGGTTCCTTCCCCACCTAAACCAAAATAAGTGTGGTTATAAATCAGAGCACCGTCAACACCGATACCTGCACTGGTCCTATTAGAAGTGATATAAAAATCAGGCCTGTGGTTAAGGTGCTGCAGCATCCCATTACATAGAAGAGGTCTTTCCAGGAGATGAGTCACTGTTGGAGTCTGTGGGTCTTTTGCTATTTAATGCCTCTATTTTTTCCTTTGTTCAAGTTTCTGAAATACCAGAGCAGCAACATTATTTCTCAAAAAGAAATCAGCCAGATTCTCCAGGAGGCATCAGAAGCCAACTTAGCAGAGCTGCCTGAGGCCATGTCTCGTGCTCTTCACCTCTTCCTTTGTCAGGTAAGAGAGCGGTGACTGCCTTGGAAAATGAGAAGGGAGTCCCTGGGGGATTGCTTTAGCCTTTGATGGGGAGCCATAAACTTCCTTTGAGGAGGTTATAGTAAGATGAAGAAGAATCCTGCAGCTGCTAGCTTAGCCTACTGCCGTGAGGGATGTACGGTGGAATCGGAAAGAGCCAGCAGCTGCCTAAACTGTGTCGTCATATTGGGCGGCCCCTCAATTCTCCCCAGATCAAAGTTTGAAGGTCTCATTGCTCTGTGTGGAGATGAGGGAGGGAGGTGTGAAGGAACAAGCCCATCAGTTTCCTGTTGGTCTGGAAGTCGTTCTTTCTTCTGACTGCTCAGATTCAGAGCAGTCATTGCCAGGTGGAGCCGGCGCAGTCAGGGACCATTCAGACCTTGCTGGAACGCCTCCTGGAACAGAGGAGCACTTGTGTGAAACATCAGGACATTGTGTATCCTTTGCTGGGCCAGATGCCTTTCACAGGTGATGTGAGGGTGGTCGGTGTAACAGAGGTAGAAGGGATACTTAATCTTTCCCTTGTTCCAGCTGAAGGCAAACGGAAGTGGAAACACTGAGCGGTCGCTATGCTTGGCTGACTTTGGGATGGATGACTTCATCATCCTCAAATTTGGGAAGACAGTTGGGAAATGAGGGGCATTTGGGGATGAAAAGATGCGTCTCTGTGCTGGGATTGCGTTCATCTATATGGCAGAGGTGGTCTGATGAAAGGGGAGCAGGCCAGGGAGCCTGTGACTTCAAAGCGGTAACGATCCCGGTATTGATTTCCCTGGAGGGTGAACAGCTTAACCTCCTTCTGTGTGCTAACTAGCGCCAGCATGCCTGTGAAGTTGTGGAAACCCAAAGATGACTCGAGCACTTTCAAAGCCCAAGCGAGTATTTGGAAACTGCTGAGTGGAGTTACTGAATTGCGTTCTGCTTGGTCTTAGAGCCCCCTGCTGAGAACTGAATCCTCTCCTTCTCTGTGGATGGGAGGCAGGGCCCACTCCCAGATTACTTATGGAGAAAGAGGGAGCCTGATGCAATATTTTTTTATTTCTCAAACTCTCTGCTTTTGCCTTCCTGTTTTCATCACACTGTGTTGCCTCAGACAGGCAGCAGTGATGGCAGTGGCCCCGGCAGTGATTTCCTGTAGGGATGGGGACTTCCTCCATTGTGGGACACTGTCATCAGCCACGTGCAGGGTATGTGGTGAGTGAGGTGTTTGTTGTCGGTGAGGAGCAGCTTGTCCTTGTGCTTACCCTCAGTGTGATACCACCACTCTGTGGTGGGATGCTCAGAGGGAAAGTTGTCCAGGTGGAGCCCATCCAGTCCCGTGAGTGAAGTTCCTCTCCACTGCCTTTGCTTGTCTGTATGGGGCTGAGGGAAGGTGGACAGGAGGTCTTGTTACCTTGCTAAAGTTGTTTCTCATTTCTGGCTTTTCCACATAACAAAGAAACCTTAAAATCTTGGTTGTTAGGAAGGGTTTTGGATGCGCTCGAAGTGCAGCCGTGGTGGCTACCTGAATAAGATAGTCACAACCACAGGAGACAAAATCCTCTGGTCAAAACCAAGCTTTGACATCAGTTTTGTCGAGAAGGAACTTTCTTCAGGTTCACCCAGGCTGGTGTTTCTCACACGTGTTGGGGGTGGGGAGCGTCCATGGTTTGGGGAAGGGTTGTTTTAGTAATGAAAACCTCTTGTCAGCAACGCATCAGATGTGGGAATTCCAGTAGCGTTCCCTTTGGTTTCCACTCATGCTGTCAATGACAGATGTCTGGGAAGTGTGGCAGTGTCCCTCTCGCACATCGGGGACTGAAATGAGAAGACATGGTGCATGCAGCAGAGGAACAAGGTGAGAATGGAATGGGAGACCCCATCCTGCCTTTTATTCCCAGCGAGCAGTAGAGAGAAGATGGACGAAGGAAGTCAGTTGTAGCTCATTTTCAGAAAAAAGGTTTGTGGCAATCATTTATAAAGCCCGGTTACTGAAATGGCTCCTCGTTTCCTCTTTAATGTGGGATGAGGCTTGGTTGATGCTCTTCAGCTACCAAAATACAGAACTGCCTGGTGGAAATGATAATCGTACCTTCGCCGGTGGTGCTTCCCAAGGGGTGGCCCCTTTCCCCTGGGCTAGCAGAGGTGCGGGGGGCTCCAGCCAGGACCCCCGGGGCAGCGGGTATGCTGCTTGCCCCACGGGGAAGAGGAGGCGATGATCCCCTGGGCCCCGCTCGCCCGGTGCCCCCAAACCCTGTAAGCAGCGCCCCTTTCTCCTCGGGGCTTTAATTAACGAGGTT